GTGTGTGGGTTTTTGTGTGTGTGTGTGTGTGGGTGTGTGTGTGTGTGTAGACAGGTTTCTCTGAGGGTTCTCTCCTTCCACTGTGATGCCTGGGATTGACCTGCCAGGGGCCTTGATCTGCTAAGCCTCCATCAATCCTGTGTGAGGAGAGCACTTAGTCAACAGCCTTGCTCCAGGGGTCTTGCTGCTGACACCCACCAGGTCAGCTTCAGTAGCCCACCTGGCTAGCCACCCACTGCCTCGGATGCTCGCAGTGGTTCTCAGGGACCGTTGGCTAACACATCCCATAATCTCTTTATTGATATTTGAGATCACCACCCTGACATCTTCCTTTACCGGGAAGGGAATCTGGAGCCTTGTGTGTGCTGGGCGAGCACTCTACCACCAAGCCATGCTTTTAGCCTCCGATGCCCATTTCTTAGCATTGGCCTTTTGTTTTACTTGAAGATGCTCTTAAAAGCCATTAGCAGAGCTGCAGTGCAGCTCTCCATTCCTGACACTCCATTTCTGCTGTCTGCTGAATGGCAACAGGGTTCCTCCCAGAACAAGAAAGGAAGGGCGGACTGGTAACCACTCCTGCGAGTGAGTTTACCCAGCACTGTTTGTAAACCGGGGATAACCCGTGTCTGCTCTCTCACATGTCTTTTTCCTTTGCTCCCTTTTCTAGCAGAAGTGCCGCGGTTGCAAAGGGAACACATGTCCTCAAGCTGTTTGCCCCAAACCTCACAATTAAATGACATTTCTAAAATGGATCCCACAGCACAGAGTAAGTTGATAAGTAAGGAAGACTCTCTCTCTCTCCCCACTTCATAGCGTTTATGCAGCGTGCAGGCTTAAAGAGCAGGGACAAGCATCTGGTATGTTTTCCGGGGCACTGGCAGGAGGAAGCCCAGAAGGGAGACAGCTGTGCCTGGGAAGACAGGATGGGAGGAGCCTAAGACAGAGGTCACGTGATTTTTTTTTTTTTTTTTAAAGCCCAGCACTGCTGCCCCAAAATAGCCAGGGCCACACTGACTAGACTGTAACGTAGATCCAACACCCCACCCTCATCCCGCCGCCCCCCACTCTACCCCCCCCCAGTCTATTAGACTTAACTGGCTTTCCAGTAAAGCTGTTGTACAGATCAAGGCAAATTTCATATTTTGAGGTCTGTGAGGTCTCTTAGAAGACAGCTTTCTCAGAGGTATTGCTAAGGACAAGTCATGAATTCTGTGCCACGTGAAGTATTTTGCTGAGTCCTGTTTTGTGGATCCAGCAGTTCTGTGCCAGAGAAAGAATTAAGCCAAGGATCCTCTGGGAGGCCGGCGGAATGTATGAGGTTCACAGCTGGCCTCTCCCTGACACCCCAGAACTAAACCTTTTCCTTTTGTGGCTCACTGTCTTCCCCAAGCAGCTGGAGCCCCTGGCTCTCCAGCCTGCACAGCGCACGCGCGCACACACACACGCACACACACACACACGCACACACACGCACACCCGCTGGAGTTTAGACTCAGGCCGGGTAATCCTCACTTCAGAGTAATGGGGAGGTGCCAGCTGAGCTCGGGTGATTTGGCAGCAAAATGCAAGCTGCCTTCCACTGGGGGCTGAAAATCATCTTCAGAAACCGAAGCTATTTAACCATGTAAAGGCTGCTCCTCGAGTCTGATCCCGCTGTTGCCAGCCCCTCCCTGGGACAAAGCGCTATACCTGGAGCAGGATGTCAGTTACTTTGACCTTGATGGGGACTCCCCCGCCTTTAGCTACCGCTAGAACATCCCGTGTTTGGCCAGGTGGCTGTGGTGTGCGGGTCAGCGCGTGACTTGGAGTTTGTCTGTCCTTTCTCCTTTCCATTGAGCATCATTGTGGCATGAGTGCTGTCCTGACCATTGAGCTTCCCAGCCAAGCTTTGTGCCTCATTTCCACATATGCCGTGTTCTCCGCTGACATTCTTTCAGTTCAGCAACAGCAACAGGAAAAAAGCCACTTGGCTGGGAAATGAAGCCACATAGACCTGGGAAATATGGCTGGCTTTTTGCCCCAGATTTTTAGTAGGGTCTGGTTGTGTTAGTGATTTTTATAGCATGGTTCCACTGAAGGCAGACACTGTATGCGAGCATCAGAAAGCTCAGCTGCTGGTAACTGCATTTTGTATTCAAGCGTTTTCAAGCAGGAAATGGGCAGAACAGGAGGCCACAGGACATGATCTTCTCCGGAGAGTGCGCAGTCTTCGCCAGAGACTCACCGCCCAGGCTCGCAGCAGGTGTCGGGACCCTCATCTTTTGGTGACTTAGAAGCCATTTCACCGTGAAACAATCAAAGAGATACCTTTTTTAAATCAATGACACTGATTTTTCAATTATTTATTCTAAATTTTTATAAAGGTCACCTTTTGTATAGAGAAATATGTCTATAAAATTATGTTTTCTATTGAATTTTAATGCTTTTGGCATGTAAAGGGCTTCCGGAATGTTCCCCAGTAAAGGTGTTTGGAAGCTATTAAAGCCAGGTTGTCTTCGTTTCTTATAAAGACCAGGGCAGACTTCACAGCCTTTAGCTGATGAGATGGGGTTTATTTTAAAGATAAAGAATTAATAAAGAACAGGACTCCACGGCCAGGGAGGCTGCCGAGTATAGTACAGGCGCATGCCCCAAGCCCAGTGGCCTGAGTTCAAAGCCATGGCCTCACAGAGATGAAGGAGAAAACCAGGTTGTCCTGACTACCACACACTCATGTGCCCATCGTAAGTAAATTGACGCATGTCACCCCAAACAAACAAGAACACTGGGTTTGCTACAGCAACAAGCCTGACTGGGCTAGAACCCTGCAGTTGTGGGATTGGCGGAATGGCAGCTAGCTGCCTGCTCCGCAATTCCTGTCTGTGATGGGTGGAGCCTCCTACTATAAACCAAATGCACCTGGAAAACGATCTCCTTTGTCCACAGTGGCCCCGGAGTAAAATTCCGCCTGTCTTTGTGCAAATGCTGGCTTCCCAGGAGCAGTCCCTAAACCTGGACCTTTGCACAGGCAGTTGGCAGGGCTCTGCCACAGAAACAGGCATAGAATGTAGAACATGATGGATGCTTCAGTGAAGGAGCCTGCTGACCTGGAAACATTCAAGTTCAAAAATGCCTGCCACAGTCAGCTGTACGCTGCCAGCAGGTCACCTCCTAAGTCATCTAAAAGGATTTGTCTGTGGGTATATGTGTGCCTGTGTGAGTTTGTCTGCACTACATGCGTGCAGGAGCCCAGAGAGGTCAGAAGGTGTCAAATCCCCAGGAACAAGGATTACAGGTGGTTATGAGCCATCGTGTAAGTGTTAGGGACCAAACCCAGGCCCTCTGCAAGACTAAGTGTCGTACCTGCTGCGTCATCTCTCCAGCCCCTTTTAGGTCCTTTGTGACTAGAATTCAGACCTACTCAATTACCTGTGTGTGTGTGTGTGTGTGTGTGTGTGTGTGTGTGTGGG